GATCCAACAGGGGTACAAACTAAAACAGACAGAAGCAGAAAGCGTCTCTCACCTGCTTCTGCGGCGGTTCTGTCAGTTGGGTTCTCATCTCAAAGCGATCCAGGCCGAACTGTGGCGCAAAACAAACACACACACTTTACAACACAATCGCCGCATGCGCTCACTTCATTACTCCCTGTTTGCACTGTGTGTCAGTATAATCACTGTGTGTGCGTGTGTCACCTTGTTGGGTCTGAGTTGCTCGCAGGTGAGTGGAGAATACTGGTGAAAAACATAGTAGCCGCTTCCTCCTTCTGGTTCGACCTTCGTCGAGCGGAAGTAGGTGCTTTGCTGCGATGGCTGCGGACGAACAAACGACAGACAGGAGTCATTCATTCGTATTAGGTGAATCAGAAATGAGTTTGGAAACTGCCCAAAACTGGTGCAGATTCATTTTCCATCAGTCAGCTAATCGTTTCAGCTCCACGTTAAACTGCCCGTGTACATGAACCTGACTTTAGCTTTCTTTGTAATCCATTTTTAATAAATAAAAAATAGATTTTGAACCCATTTCAATCATTTTTGACAACCAGAGGTGGGCCACCAGCTGTTTCATGGTGTGGTCTTCATTAAGGGGAATCTTAAAGCTACAGCAGACGATTTTAGACCAACAGTTTGTGTTTGGCCTTTTTCTGTTTCAATAGGACAATGAAACATACAACGTCGTGCACTTAGAAGAAGGCCTGCGCCTCGAGGATCTGAACGCCTCAGGAGAAGAGCCGAGCAGAAAACTCACATCCATCCTGAAGACTTCGGCGTGGCAGTGCGAGTTCCTCAGATACCAGGACACGTTCAACTGGACGGGAGACGAGGTGTTGCAGGTCTCTGCCACCACTGACCACAGAAAAACAACATTTCATTCATTCGGTTTTTTGTTTGCCGTCCTCCTCGGTGTCAGACTGACTTTTGACGGAGCTACACTTTGCAGCTTGCTTCTAGTCTTTGTGGTCAGCTAAGCTAAACTTTTCTGTACTGAACCCACAGAGATGAAACTGACCTTTACCCTATCATCTGACCGGAGACGGACAGCTCCTTTAAATCCATTTAAAAAATACCTTTCAGGAGAAGGAAATCGTCGTTGGGCGGGTCTACTTACGTTTGAGCTCGATGAAGCTGCTGTTGAACAGAGTTTTAGTAAAATAGAAGAGACTCTGCTTCTTCAGGGTTTCCTGGAACAAACAAACAAATAAAATTATTATTTCTACAGTCCAATTTCACAGATCACATGTTTGTCTTAAGGGCCTTTACAAGATGCGGCATCCAGACAGCAACTGAGCAGACTCTGAATGCACTACATGCTTTAAGATCGTTAATCCTGCACTCTCGCTCGCTCTCTGCTCACTTGCTTTACAATCTTTGTTTTACAGAGTTTCTTTTCAATTCTCTTGTTTGTTCTTGTGAAAACACAAGTTTGAACACTAAAAACTCTCAGAATAAAACAGTTTAAGAGGAGAAAACCACTGACAGGTGAAGTGAAGGCGCCCGTCAGTGGGTGGGGGGATTTATCCAGCAGCAGGTGGACAGGAAAATGGGCAAACATAAGGATTTCAGGGACTGTGATTTTCTAGACGACTGGGTCAGAGCATCTCCTAACTGGTCTGCAGAGATCATGCAGTACCTATCGGAGGGGGCGAAGGATCACTGATGCACACGGGGAGCGAAACTGCTGAAACAGTGGATGCTGGCTCTGATAGAAAGGCGTCAGAACACACAGAGCAGACACGGCGGAGTCCGGGCCTCGACGGGGCAGGATCAGCGGGTGGTCATAATGTTATGGCTGATCGGTGTTACATTGACAAGACGTTTAAATGGACTGTATTTCATTTATCTTAGAATACGAACAGAAAGCTTCAGTGTCACTCAGTTTGAGCTTTTCAGAAAGACGGGTGAGAAAAGACATCAAGTAATTCATTTTAAACACACGAACAACAGCGAAAGGAGTTTGGTAAGTGGGGCTGAGGTCCACGCGCGCAGGTATCCCTCTGTTAAACTCTGTCCTCCTGCGAGCGACTTACTGTGACTTCATGACTCATTGTTTACACATTAACGCGTCTTTGAAGAACGAGTCGGCCAAGACAAACGCAGCAGAGGATGAGAACGAGCCGAGCTTGCTGTTCAGCTGAAGGACGGAGGAACAAACACCGAAAGAGAAGTTGTAATCGGTTTGTCAGAAGACAAAGAGACTCTGAGTGCTCCAGCATCGGACTCAGGAGTGTAAACAGGCTTTTCATTCACCGACTTATTGATCAATTAATTTGGTTTTATCACATCGTAATCTGCTCTGACTCGCACTGTGAAGAGTTTCAGGCCATATTTACAAGAAAGCAAGTATAAATAATATATTTTCTCTTTTCTAATTTGACTTCCAATATGGATTCTCTGTTTGGGAAAACGATGTCACGTGTTACTGTAGTGCTGCAAATGATTAATGGATTTAAAAGAGAGAGCTGCTCTTATTGGTTCACCCTGTTTAAATAAAGGTTAAATGAATCAATTATTAACTATTTAATATTTTAAGACATAAACGTACCAATTCCTGGTTTGCAAAGCTTCACCAGCAGCTATTGGCCAAAATCTTGAGCCTGACTGGTTAATTTTATCTTATTATGCATATATGAATATGGCTCTATGCATGACTGCAGATAAGTAACAAAACATGCCAAAAGAATATCAGCATATAAAGGATTAAGGTTCTAACATAAAATTTTAAATAATAAAATCATTTATTGTTTTGTCCTTAACATGTACAAATAAATAGAGAAAAAGCTCATCAATTTCCCAAAGCTTCACTTTTATCTGGTCATCACTCCAAAACCCCAAGATAATTATATTAGAAAAACATAAATAATCATCAACGAAGCAGCTGCAAACAGACTGACTTAAAGTTGATGGATGATTATTATGATTATTAGGGGTGGGAATCACCATATTATCACGGTACTTACGTGACGATACATATTGCGATATACTGCAGTTTATTAACTTTTTTCCAACTTCAAATTGTTGGAATTAATTAATCCAACCCCCAAAGAAAAATGATTTTTTTAGTGGAGTAAAAAAGCAACTGATTTTATTACCAACCAAATGATTACCAAAAAGAAAACTTCTCATGTACAATTTATATAATGAAAGATCGATACTTGACCTCCGTGTATCGATACAATAGTGCCACAGAAAATATCGCGATACTCTGCTGTATCGATCCCCCCCAATGATTATTATTAATATTATGAGTGTGGACCTACAACAAGGCTACAACTATGTGACAAGGTTATTTTTTTTTTATACAGCCCCACATATCAACATTTAGCCTCAAGGTTGTTGTTTTTTTTACAGCACAACATACGTGCCTGTCCTTCGATCCCCGACTCCAGTTCATATTAATATCAACATGTAGAGATTATTACACAATTCCACTGCGAGTGAAGGTTCTGAAAGCGTTTCATTTCCACTTTAAGGCGAGACACCGCAGTCCAAAATTATTATTAACTATTATTACCATACCTTCATAAATTGCTTTCCATGTAAAAGTTCAACTGGTCTCTTTAAAACTCTCCATCATAGATCGTTTGAAAGTTTGTTTTCTAGAGCCCAGTGCTAGTTCATTTATCAGAGATCGACGAGATGTGTTCATGTGACAAAGCATTTTTATGCTAATCTCTAACAGATGGTTTCTCAAAGTGACATGTTTCCTGCACGCCAAGTCATTTTCCTCGTCCTCCAAGGCAAACATCTCTTTTATCAGTCTCATTTTATCTGTAAATATGTGGGAAAAACTGGTCCATCACACATATTTATTTTATAAACTGTTCTGTAAATATCAGGCAATCTGGTATATTATCACAATAAAAATCCATCTGACTTTCATCAGTTTTCAGGAACGTGGATTTGTGTGATATGCAAATCAGCGCATATTTAAAGAGGAACATACAAAAGTTGAAATAAAAAAAAAAAGCTTCTATTTATCTTTACATTTAGCTTGTAAAGTTTCATTGTGATAAAACTAACAAACACCTCCTACTTCACTCAAGTCATCAAACTGGACCTTGACGTTAGCGCCGGACAAAAATTTTATCAGGATAAAAAAAGAAATTTTTTGCTTTAAGAAGAAACCAGACGGTTAATTGTGATTTTAAACTTTTCTTGACGGTCAGAACAAACAAGCTGAACAAAGCTGAGGCACAACATTCAAAACTACTGTGAAAAAATCTGTAGGAGTAAAATCTTTTTTCAGTCCCTTTTCCTCAACAAAATAAATAAATAGAAAAATTAAGTGTAAATTCTTATTAAGATGCAATCTGATAGGAAAATGATATTGCCATAATTATCACTATTGATTTATTGCCCAGGATTTGTAATTCATTCCAGGCCACATTAACTCACTGCTACTGTACTGTTAATGATTTAAATACTGCGCACTCCTTTCCATATGTTTCCATATGTTTCTATTGTTCTTCTATTCCTGACCTGCGCGCTAAGAATTTCTTTGTGGCTCGGAGTAAAGTTGGGGATCAAACGTTGGCTGCTGTCTCGCCTTCACGTGATTCATCACGTGAGATCTTATCTGAGGGGAACTTGTTCTGCTGCTCGGTCGCTTCTTTTCTCCTCAGTCTTCAGACCGGACTCTGATGGGCTGCCTAACGTTGTTTGCATTATTATAATTAATATTTATAGCTGTTCGTGGACATAAAGGGCAGTAAAAGTAAACAGGAAACTCACACTGTCGACGTTCACGATCCACTTCCCCTGTTCCGATACGGCACCGACCGGCCCGCTTAGCCCCGTTAGCACCAGCAGGAGCAGCACCGAGGACCAGAGTCCCGGCCTGGCTCGACCCGGACCCGAGGAGCTCGCCATTTGAGCCAGGAGGAAGAAGAAACCAGCAGCAGCAAAGCATCCGCGTCAACTCACAACACGCTGGACACTTCCTGCTTCCGGCTTACGTTAACAGTCGCGGAAGGATGCTTTCACGGGCCGTGGGAAGTTTAAACGCGCAGTGTAAAGATGTCGTTACAAATACAACAAATATCTCTGTCATTCATTCTGAAGAATGTGAAGTTGTAGTATGTAATAATATACAATATTAACAACTACCACTTTCATTACAGTACTTTTTATTGATTAGTAATTGCCTAAGTTTTGGGCGCTCTGATTTATTTTGAAAAGTGGCATGCTATGCTGTCTAGCTTGACGCATGTTGTTGCTGTTGCTCCCTGTGGCCGCTGGAGGGCAGTGAACACCACGTCAGCTTCACCAGCATCAAGGCGGACAGGCTCTGCAGACAGGAAGCTGATTTACAAACAAGGTAACATCAATAATCAAGTTTTTACCAACACTGATGTCATTTATAAAAGTCACACAAAATGATTATTCAAATTGATATTGAGAATAAAAAAACATTGTGTTGCAGTTCCTCACTGTGACCACAAGAGGGCACTTGTCTCTAAATACACTCAATTATTATTATTATTATTATACTGAACGGAGGGCAGTAAACACATGACAGCATGATCACGAGAAGAAAACTAAATTGCTCACTTGTCACTGTAGAAATATTACTTTACATACCAATTTTTCATTTCCGGTGAAAAACTTCAAAATAAGACATCAAACTGTCACATTAAATATCAATAGATTTTCTGCTCAGTGGGTTAAAATTACACTGAAACAAAACATTCAATAAATCTTTGTTCACCTGTGAAAGGAATTTATTAGAGCTTTTGTTTGTTTGTCACTTTTATTACACTTTTTTGTTAGATTTTAAATTTAAGCACAACTTAAATTGCTATGATAAAGATGTAATTAGAGCTGAAACTAGTTTGTCAATTAATTGATGAGTCAATTGACACAAAATCAAGTAACAACAATTTTAAAAATCGATTTATTATATGTAAACTTAAATGACTGTAAACTATCTTTTGGACTGCTGGTCGGACAAAGCAAAACATCGACAGACACTGCTCTGTTTTTTAGACATCTCATAGGCCAAAAGATTTATGGAGAAAATAATTGGCAGATAATTAATGATAATTAATATTGAAAATTTTAAAATAGGTTGTAGCACTACTGAACAAAAAGCTGAATTTTAAAATTTATTCTGTGATCAGGTTTAAATTTTTCGTTTTCCCCTTTAATCTAAACAGATCTTCTTTTTACATTCCATGTAGAAACTATAATAGTTCCTAAATGCATTTAATGTTGGTAGAACAAATGCTAACGTTATTATCACTACTTACTTTAATTTTATTTAGTATATTATTTGCCATCGCCCGTTGATGTCTGAGCTTTCCTGCTGACCCCTGAATGCACCATAATTTGTGTTTTTGTGTGTGAACTCCCACCCCAGAAATGTAATGGACGTTAGGACCTGGAGGCCTCTGTGTGTGTGCGTGCGTGCGTGCGTGTGTTGGGCGGGGTTGGTGATGCATTGAAAAACAACTTAGATCTTGTGGCTCAGCGGGTTTTTCGGCTTCTCTCGATCCTGCCCGAATAGCTGCCCCCTCTTCTCTCTCTCTCTCTCTGTGTGTCAGTGTGTCTTTACCTCTCTCTCCCACTCCCAGTCAGTCTCACCTTGTCTTTCTTCAGCAGCAGCAGAAGTCTCAGTAAGTATTTCTCAGTAAGTATTTCTCAGTATTTCTCAGTAAGTATTTCTCACTAAGTATTTCTCAGTAAGTATTTCTCACTAAGTATTTCTCAGTAAGTATTTCTCAGTAAGTAGTTTAAAATAGCGCCTGTTTTAGCGTGAATGCTGTGTCTCCTGAACTGTCTGCGTGTTTGTGCTGAAACCTGACCCCGCAGGTTGTGTGAAGGTGAAGGTATTTACATGTTGAGTGGTGGAAAAGTACAAAACCAGATCATCACAGGGTGGAAACGATCCAGTCCAGAGTTTACTGGACTTAAAGCAGACTGTGGTCGGGAGCTGTCAGTAGAGCCGTCGGGGTGTTCACGCATTCACAAGTTAATGTGTTACTTCATTATACTGCCAGGCCGGGGGGGGAAGTATTTAGTAGAGAAGTCAAAGTTTACTTTAGTTCAAAAGTATTAGAGGCTGAAAGTACTTAGGGTTTTCAAAATAAAAGTATTTATTATTATTCAGGACAAATACATTTTTGTCAAATGTGACGAATTTTCTGCTTTTCTTGCGTTCGTGCTCCAGAATACTGGAATAATCTGTTGGATAGCTTATTAAAATACCTTATGTCTTTTAAACTGATCATGTTGTTTAAAATCTGCAAAGTCACCAGTAACATAAAATGTTTATACTTCTAATGTGTATTTGCTTTGTATTTAACATGTCAAATCATACACAGTGTACTTTGCATCACCTTGACATGAGTTTTGTCATGACTGGACCACCGCTCAGCTTTAGCCATCTCATTTATTTGATATACTCTTTTTTTTTATTTTTCTCTTCAATCTATTGAGCCTGTCAGACCAGAGCCCTGTAAAATATTTAGTCAGACCAACAATCCAAGGTGCAAGTTTGAAAGTGTATTTGTACAGCACATTTCAGCAGCAAGGCAAATGTTGCATCCTTCTCTTCTCATCTGTAAAGTTGAATTACTCAGACCTGTTGTTGATGATCAGATAGTTGTTGCGGGACTAAAAAAAGAACTGATGTTATTCCTTTTCCCTTTGTCTTTCTGTATCACACAGACGGCAACATGTTTCTGGCAAAGACTTTCATCAAAGGCATCGTAAATGTCGTGGGGTGAGCAAGCACAAGATTCATTTTCTCCTCTTTAGAGGGAGCAAGGCTAACAGTTTCCCTTTGCTTCCAGTCTTTGTGCTAAGCTAGGCTAAGCTATAGTATCTCTGTACTGGTCGCATACATTGATCTTCTCACAGCTGCTCTCTGACTCGTGTCCTGTCCTTTTTGTCTCCAACAGCGACATCGACCACACGCAGTTTATGCCTTCAGCCCCTGTGAGTACCAACGTCAGGAAACAAGCAGCAGAAATACGTTTATCATAACGTCCAACACATCATGTATTTGATAGTATGCTCCATGTCTGTTCGTAATACAGACCGTTCACATCTTAAAGGCTGGGTTTGTGATTCTGGAGAAATCCAGCACCGGGACAAACGCCATGATCTAGAGCGAACAATCAGAATCAGAAATACTTTATTAACATTTGCTCAGTTTGCATATCAAGGTGTTGAGCAATAGAAATAATAATAATAATAAGAGGAAGTAGAAGATATAAAGAAATATACAAATCTAGTATTTAGCTTAAGCGCACTCAAAGAGCAGACGGCAGACAGACCGGGAGGAATTTGACAAAATTGGAGTCACATTTAACCTCTTTCAAATCCAAATATTTCATGGTCTCAGCCAATGAAAACTATTTTAAAACTTGTCTTTGGCTTCGTAGCTACACAGACTGTAACCGACATATTTAAAGTTTGAAAATCCCTCCTGCAAACTCAAAATTTAACTTTAAAGAGATGTCAGAGGTCATGAGGAATAACACGTTAGCTCAAAAGTCATTATTTGCATTTGATTTCAACATTTGATGGGGTGCAAACAGCGAGAGTAAAGCTTACATGGCTTGACAATCACCTTAGTAGTGACGTTGATTTATCTTCTTGTGTCCATTTCAGCCAACGTCCTATTATTTCAGCATTATTTGTGTATTTAGACATCATGAATCTGTCCTCTTCTTAACCCGATTTGTTTGTTACACTAAATAAAATGTAAGGATTTTTTATACAATGAACAAAATGGCACACCAAAGGTAAATCCACGTCTCTGATTGGCTGTTCTTGCTCTGATGTGATTAATCGTGTGATCGCTTCTTAACACACCTGTTTCCGGAGCAAATCAAGTTGTTTCAAGGCAGTGATCTGCTCTTTTCCCTTCTTGTTGCTGTGGATTGGAAATATTGTTTGATATATGAAAAAACAGGAAGAGCTGAGACCCCGTTCTCGGGTCAGTCTTGGAAATCCATTTGTGTCCATGTCCTCATAGCAAGCGGCCCCAAGCGGGGACCCGAACCCTACACTGTGAAACTCTGTAAATGAGCTTTAATTCAACCTCGTTACCGTGATTAAATCAAACCCCAGATTCTCCCAGTGGAAGATTTCTTAAGCAAACAAACGCACCGAATCTCTAAACTGCAGTTAGACTGAGGAACGTGTGTTTGTGTGTTTGCAGGCTCCCCCTCGCATACCGCTGCACCTCGCCAAGGCTCAAGAGACCGATGAGGAGGCGCAGTTCAGGAGAGTTTTCAAACAGCTGGCTGGAGATGTGAGTCCATGATATTCACGTTTATTCCTGTTTGTTCTCCGTCTGTGTGCTTAGTGTTCACGCACAGGCTCATTTCACCCCCAATCACTCTGTTTCTATATTTTAAGCTTTAATATTGTGCCGGGAAACGATAAGAACAGGTAGAGAGGGAGGAAGGCAGACTGAAACAAGATATAGAAATAGAATAAGCACCAAACTACCCAGAAACCATCACATAACTGTATTTGGTCTGTGTTTCATTGTGGTTACTTACTATATGAAAAGCTGCAGATCCACCTGTCAGCAACGCTCAGATTTAATATTCTGCTGATCAATTGTTGTTATCTAATGACCGATGAGGGGAAATGCAGCTGAGAAAGCTGGGCCGAGTTCAAGGTAATTACTGCAATAAATAGTCTCTAAAGTTAAAAACTTCTTTACAAAGTTCCTGTCATGCTGAATAATCCACAGAACCAGCGGTCACCAGTTTCCACAGGCAGTATTTCTTCAGTGGAAAGCACTCGCAAACTGTGAAGACTGCACTTGTACAGTAGCAAGTGTGTTTCATGTATTAACTACTAACAGGGTCACGTGACTGCAGGCATCTCGAGAAGCAAGCAGAGAGCGCAGAAACATAGAGGTGGTCTGTGTCCAATAACTGAAAAGATTAAGGAGGACTCCCGCACACGGTCAGATTACCTCGACCTTCATCAGTGGATCCTGATCTCTAAACATTTGGACCCCTCCCTTTTCTTTGTGGCATGTGAGCCGGAGGAGTTTAAATTATTCCCTTAAGTCTGAAAAAGCAAAAAATATTAAAAGATGCAACGGAAGTTTGTGAAGCAGAAATGTTTAGTTCTTATCCTTTACTCACGGTCGTTGAGGGCGCATTCAGCCAGCGCTGAATAAATCATTTCACAGGGGAACGTGCAGTATTTTAATGCTGGGAGCTTGTAATCGAGTCCCTTCTGGTTTTCCTGTTCTGGACTTGTGTGGAGGCTTTCTACAGCTCGGCCTCTCTTAAATCTGATTCATCTCTCTACACTTTGCCCCACTCTTCTTTCCTAAGCGGGAAAAACAGGAAGGGGCGAGATGCAAATGTGGAGGCTGATTACTGTCTCATTACTCTTGATTATTCAGCTGATCTCGTTTGAAATATCACAGTTGATTTGGCTGCTCAGCAAGTTTTAATTGAAGTTGTTAAAGGTCCGCCCGTCTCTGCCTGATCACTCGCCACACCTGTCTGCCGGCTGCATTCCTAACGCCACCCTCCGCTGTTCCACCCTCCCTGTTTTCTCTCTTTGTCTGCTTCATCATCACGCTTCTACCGCTCTAATTCACACCATTGGAATAATGGTAAACTTTAAAAGAGTAAGTAAATGCAGCCTGTTAATTCCCCTCCCTTTGTCTAACTGCAGCCTGCAAAAAAGGTATGGTGCATTAGCTCCACCATCTAATAAGGAGTGTGGGGGAGAAAGAGAGGGGGGGAGAGAGGGGGAGAGAGGGGGGGAGATGGGGGAGAATGAGAGAGAGAGAGAGGGAGAGGGGGGGGGAGGTCTGTCTGTGCATTCCTGCCATTGTCTGACAGGGAGGCGTTCAGGCCTTCGGGGCGTTGGTCTCTCTCTCTCTCTCTCTCTCTGTGGTTTTCTCTGACTCACCAGAGGGGTGTGCACACAAGTTAGACCAGAACTCGGCCGGCTGGCTGGATTTCTCTAAATCGACGGCTGTAATAAGAGCGATGATGACGATGTATGTAGTAGCGTACCCGCTAAAAAACAGGATTTGGACACTGAAGCAGAGCAGGTTCTGTTCTTCAGAGTTTATGAACAAAAAAAATTACCGTGGTGAGAATTTCCAAGCAGGCAGCTCCCAACAAAAGCAAAATAATCCAACAAAGGTGAACAACAAGTCATTGATTGTTTTTAGTAGAGTTATGTTACTTAACTCACGTCAGTTAGGTCACGTAAGTAATGTCATTTAAACCCAAACCAGGATCTTTTCCTAATTCGAACCAAATTGCTCCGTTCCACAGCCTCAACCGCTAATTTTATTTTGAAAGTCTAACTGGACTTTGCATATTTATTGTTGCTAACTTGACCACGGAGCCCCACATGTCCAAAAATTGAGGCTAAAGGGTCCCCAGGGCGTTAATAAGCAGATGTGCATATGTGACGCGTTGGGAGCGAGAATGTGTTGAACGTACCGACGGGGTTGCAAGCAAGAAGTTAATCCCACAAAACGACCCACACTACAAGTATCATCATCAATAAAACCCCGCCAAGGCAAACATCCAAAACAATAACAAGGCATGAGTATTTGCAACAGACGGGTGGGTCAGAGTGAGTTTACAAACTAATGTGATCAATAAATAAAAGCAAAAACATTCTTACTCTTCAGAGAAGCCCAGAGATTAAAATGTTGTGATCTCGTAGAAAGTGTTGAGACAAAAAGAAGAAAGCAAGAAGAACAAGTCAAAGAGTTTGAGGTGATAAAAACATTTCATGGTCACGACGAAACCGTTTGGATGGTTCGCTATGTCAAAATAAAGTTATCTGATGATCCTGACACAAAAAAACTTTCTCCTGATCATGTGGAAACGAATCATCTTTATCAAATGACCCTCCGGCCTTCTGATTACAGTTGAATTCATCTTCGCTCACATGTTCCAAATATCCATCCATCCGTCGTCAACCGCTTATCCTGCATACAGGGTCGCGGGGGGGCTGGAGCCAATCCCAGCTGACATCGGGCGCAAGGCGGGGTCCACCCTGGACAGGTCGCCAGTCCATCGCAGGGCCACACATAGACGAACAACCACTCACGCTCACGCTCACACCAATTTAGGGTCGCCAATTAACCTAGTCCGCATGTCTTTGGACGGTGGGAGGAAGCCGGAGCACCCGGAGAGAACCCACGCAGACACGGGGAGAACATGCAAACTCCACACAGAAAGGCCGGGGCATCCACGTTCCAAATATTGCTTTTAAAATTAGAAATGAATTAAGAAATTCAGGAAAAAGGCGGTGCAGAGACAGCAGGACTCTGTTTGTTTTCTGCAGTGAGTCAGAAGATGGAAAGATGACAAAGGAAATAAAAGGAAACAGCTTCAGTTTGGTTTGAGTCACCCTCAGATCAGCTATGACTCACTCTGTTGGAGGGTTTCCTCTGTGGAAAACAGCGCTCAGAGCACCAACACCCTTCTGATATGTGTGTGTGTTAACAGGACATGGAGGTCAGCCCCACTGAGCTGATGGACATCCTCAACAAAATCATCACCAAACGTGAGTTCTTCTCTACAGATAAGAGCCTCCACTGATCCACGCATGTCTGCAGACTAATTATTGTGTTTTTATTTAAGTAGTTAAAACTCCCGTTCTCTCGTTTCAGATGGAAAGCTGAAGACTGACGGTTTCAGCATCGAGTCCTGTAAGAGCATGGTCGCTGTCATGGACGTATCCTTTCACAAACTATATAGTGCAGTACTACTGTGTGTCGGTATCAGTAGTACTAGAAATTGAAATAGTACCAGCAGCAGCAGTGGCAGCTGTATTAGTTGTAGTACCAGTAGTATTGAAATGTAGCATTTGTAGTTACAGTAGTAGCTTTGGCGGGAACAGTAGTATTAATAGTAGTAGTGTTAGCGTCGTGGTTGCAGTAGTCGTAGAAGTAGCAGGAGCTACGTGCTGGTTTCTGAGTTTGACCTTTGACCCGGCTCCCATCAGAGCGACAGCACCGGGAAACTGGGCTTCCACGAGTTCAAGCACCTCTGGACCAACATCAAGACGTGGCAGGTCAGTTCACCGCGCCTCTCGTTCTTCTTCTCTTCCTCTTGTGTCAGTTTCACTTCATCAGTACATTTTAACACGTGACCCATCATTCCCACCATTTCTAGTGAACAGAGACAGACGCTTAACGCACGTGACGCAGACATTAGGGCTTAAATTCTGTTAATGGAAAAGTTAGTCTGCGTTGTCTCTGCTATTTTTGTTCCATGTTGTTCATCTGTCTGCCGTCTGCAGGGCATCTATGTCGCCTATGATGAAGATAAGTCAGGTGTGATCGGCGCTCAAGAGCTGCCGAAAGCCTTCAAGGCTGCAGGTGAGAAACGCACTCGCTCTGAAAATCTTTGCAGTGTGAACTTTCAAACCTAATTGTGTTTGCGTGTGGGTGCAGGTTTCCCTCTGAATGAGGACCTCTTCAAGCTGATTATCCGTCGCTATAGTGATGAAAACGGCAACATGGACTTTGACAATTTCGTTGGCTGCCTGGTGCGACTGGACGCCATGTGCAGTGAGTCCTTCTGTCTTTCTTCCTCCCACTCTCCCCTCCCTGTTTAATCCCATGACCTCTCCCGTTAAATCCATCTTTTTATAGGTGCATTAGTGCATCAAATGCTATTCTAGCTTCATTTTGCACACATTTCTATACAACATTCAGCCAGACATGCATATTTTGAACCTCCAAAGTAGTTTAAAATAAAGGTCTGACAGCTTGTTTTAAAGTTCACATTACATACAGTTAATGTTTTTTTGAAATGTCCAAAGACAGGAAAGAGTTTCTCTGATAGACATCATCTGTCCTACACAATATGGATTTAAGTGCTCTGTATTCATTTTGTGACAAAATATGAAAATGTTCATTATATAATGAGAATTCAATCTTTGGTGTTAGGATTTCAGTCAGCAACACAACTTTCCTTTAAAAGCAACACTATGTTTTGAATCGGCGCTGTCGATCTTTCTGACCTGCGTCAGCAACTCGGCCCAGTGTGTTATGTGTGTGTGCTCTGCAGGAGCCTTTAAGACCCTGGATAAGGACAACAGCGGCTCCATCGACCTGGACATCAAGGAGGTAAAACACAGTTTAGTTCACTTCACTATTTTTTCCCTTCACCTAATTGTCAACATGTCCCCATTGACAAGGATGTAGGTTTGGTTTCAGAGGTGGGGGACATGCATTGTGAAGTTAAAAAAGACCATCACTGTATGTGTAACAAGCAATGCAAACCTCTACATTGTAATACTTTAATTCATTGTTCCCCTTTCTTCACTGATACTATTTTAGTTTGGACTGATGTTCAGAGCTAGCATACGTTAGGACATATATTAATAAAAACGTAGTGGGAACCTGAGTGATGTCTGCAGGTATTCCTTTCAAGCTACATACAACCCCAACAGCATTTGCCAGTAAGATACGGCAATTTGTATGTAGCCTGAGAGGCAATGCTCAGGGCAAGATATCAGCGGAGAGGGAATGTGAAGGCACGTCACAGAGTGTTGCATGTTGGGATGCGGGCACCATATTTTAAGATGCGCGCTCTGTTTACCTGTGAGCCTGCAGGTCACGACGGTGGTTCCTTTTGGCAAAAAAGTGTTTTAAAATCTGAAGGAGAAGGACAGAAATGGAGAAGGGAAAAAGACACTGCTGGGAGAAACTGAATGCCTCTGCCAAGAAACAAACTAATAACAATAAACAACGTAGATCCAAATCCAGCAGACGATGTCTGGTTTTGGCCCTCTTGTTCAAAATAAATGTGCAATTAAAACTGACATGACAAGAGCTGTTCCTGTTGCTGTTTTTTTATGCGTACCTACCCAGGTTAAAGTTTTCACTTCCCTTTGTGCTCTTTCCACGAAGGAAAGGCTAAAAAACATATTCCATTGTCCAGTTTCCTCCCTGGATGATTGTGTGACCTGCTGCGGCAGATCTTGATGCAGCCGCACTGAAGCGACCACGGCGACGTTTTTTAGGCTCGCAACAGAAAATCAAAACACGGCCGGGGCAGAGGGATTGAGCAGCATCCTCACGCTATGCCTGCAGAAATAAAATGTTACCCATAATTCAACACAGCGTGACACCAACCTCACGTTGCCTGTAACTGAAGGCTTATTTTTGAGATTCTGGAGGCTGGACCGTTAGAACAATGTTCAGAGAGACAATACAAGTGAGGAGGACAAAAAGCCTTCTGATTCACTAACGCTCTGTTTCTCTCTCACAGTGGCTTCAGCTGACCATGTACTCTTGAAGCGACGCAGGGAAGCTTCTCCACAACACTTATTCACTTTCATCTCATCCCTCCCTCCCTCCCATTCCACTCGTTCCACTTGTGTGTGCTTATGGATGTGCAATAGCCATCTCGTCATGGTAACGGGACCAAAACGCCAGCGTAGAGCTCAAGTCGGGAAGAATCTAACTCGGACCAAAGCGGAGCGGACGCTGCCGGTGCACTGTCCTGCGGCTGCCAGGCGGCGGCGCTATAACGTCCCCATGTTACAGATATCTATATTTTATATTAAGTAAGTTAAGTTTTTATCAGGCTGAAACTGTTGTACCAAAATGACTCTGGATGTTTAAGAGAATAAAGTCACACAACGTACATGACAATGTTTCTTTTTCTCCACATCACTTCAGCGACTGTGGCTAGCACGTTCTCAAACTGTCTGTTTATTCCAAACAACAAGAAGGAACTTGTGATGTTTTACTTTCAGTGAGAGGCAGGAAAGAGCTTCCAGGCAGCGTGTGTCACAGCTTTCAACTATAGTCTGGATCACTTCTGCATCAGACAAGAGAATAAGACACAGCAAATATATCGCTGACTGGTTTACTTCTTGTCCTATTTGTCCATGAAGCTGACGTCAAGATGTGGACCAGCCATAGGTACCTGCTCAATAAATGTCCATAAAATTGTTACCTGCAGCTCGCGAAACAGACCGGATGTCAAGTTTGTAGTGATTTTAGTATGAGGACAGTTCTTCGTACTTTTACTTAAGTAAACAGTCAATGCAAGACTTTAACTTGTAAGTAGGGCTAGGTGATGTGACCAGAAATGTTATCACGAGATAAATGTCAAATCATTATTTCTTTCATGTTAAAGGCTGATTTTTGAAGAAGAAACCAGCTGGTTAATTATGCTTTAAACTTTTCTTTCTGGTCAGAACAAACATTTGATGCCAAACAGTGGATCACTTCACACATCTGAGGCAGAACATCCAAAACAATCTTAATACGCATCAGTAAATATCTTGGTATCTGGGCAGTGGCAGGCTTGCCAGTGAGAACCATTAACCAGTTCTTCTGAATTATCTAGGGTCATGGTTTAGGTCCATAGTTCCCAACCTTGAGGTCAAAAAAGCCCACAAAGAATCGCAAGATATTAGGATTTTTCTTGAATCTTTGCTTTTTTTATTGTGGGACTTTTACAGATCAATTTGTCTCTTGAAGCCAAAATTTAATAATGAAAAACAAGAAGTTGTTCCGGTCAAATCAGTAGATATAGTTCTTTTTTTAAGGGGCCACCAGCCAAAAAGGTTGGTAGCTTCTGGTTTAGTTTCAGTTCGTGGTCAACTGAGATATATATATATACATATATACACAGAGAGAGAGAGAGTAGTATGAAATTAATTTAAAGGTTTTTATTTTACATTATATCTTTGTATATTCATATCAGAGAGGAAATCTCCTCCTCTGATGGGATCACTGGTGTGTGTATGTTATTTAGTACTGAAATGTTTACATGCTATTTTAGGTTTTTCATCAGATCTTTTTAATATCAAGCTCTAAATCTGACACGACCTTTCAAACTTGCCATAATGACTATTTAATATTATCCCTTTCATTTCCTAAAGTTTGGTGTTAGTGTGTTGACACTGGTGCGTGTTTGCTGAGGGGCGGGGTCGGTTCGGTTCGGGGGGGGGCAGAGATGCTGAAGAGGAACAAGGGAGGAGGAACAACAGGTTTCTTCCGCAGACTGCGGATCGTTTAAAGCTTATAATCTGGACACGAACTCAAAGAGAAGCTGAAGAAGAGCTGCAGAAAGGTGAGAAGCTTTTAACTGTCCGCCGTTTCAGCTCACTTTCACTGAATGCAAGCTGACGATAGTTACGCGTTGTGAAGTGGAAATGAAAAAAGCAGCAGCGAAGTGGTGAAATATATTTTCAGAGTTTGCTGAAAGAGAAAGTACACTAACTGCAGATCGCATCAAGTAAAGGCAAAGTGAATAGAAGTAACTGCTTCCGATGAGAGTCTGTATCTCTCTGTTCTCTTAATGTGATCAGTAAGAACAGCGAGCTGTTCAGCAGCAGATGGACAGGTGTGTCTTTCAGTACAGGTGTGTGGACAGTGTGAAAGAGTATAATATGGCTTATTAAAGATTTATACCACCTGATTCATCATCAACCTCAATGTTAATGAATTAAAGTGTAAAATACACAGTTAAAGTAACCATGTCAGCACCCACAGACTGTAGATAAAATGGACATGTGTGATGTCTAAAGGTTGACGTGGGAGTTTGCAGCCCAGTGGTGAGGTGTTAAAGGCTCTCACACATGAGTTCTCTGTAAGGTGGGACGCAGGTCAGTGCAGAGCCATAGTGCAGGTAGTGTTGAGGTTAGGTCACAATGCGCAGCAGCTGTCACAAAGGCTTTATTGTTTACTATCTGCTTGTTCACAAACCTGGCTGCTCACGTCTCCCTGCCAAGATGGTGATGTGATTTCAATGTGTGCCAATATGATTTAAGTGCCCCGTCGCTTTCTCTTTGGAAAAACAACGACTCATGCTGGTTACAAAAACCAACAAACAAATGTTGACTGTGATAAAAAGGAGATAGAACATCCTCTGGTAATGCACCGAGTTGGCCATCAACACACAGTGTGCTTCAGTGCCCACTGTAGATATGAACTGTTGACCTAACCATAAAGTGTGGCTGGGCTTTGATGCTTAAAGAGAATTCCTGATATTTATTATTCCTCTGCTTTTGCCCCAAACTTGGATTTTCTGATCCATGTTTTGACAGCATAGCTAGGAGTTTTGAAATCTGGAACTGTATAACTTAAAGAGGTCATTTTTGGCTTTTTCCCTTTTCTTCATTGTGTATCTTTTTTGTGCATGTAATAGGTTTTGATACGTCCTAAGGTCTGGGGGTATCTTGGATGCAACATAAAAAGGTGTGGCTTCTCACTCTTCCCAAGCAAGGCCAAAACACAGGAAATACAATTTAGCAGTTATATTAGCTAAATGAGCGGTGCCCAAAACACTCCAAGAAACCTAAACCAAAAAGTAAAGACAGACAAATCTCTAAACTAGGCTTCTGATACCAAAACAGCAGACAAAATGGTGCCAAGAAAAAGGGCTTCTCACTCCTGCTAAACTGCTAGTAGCTGAACAACAAAGAAAATCTGTATGTAAAACAAAACAAGGTTGTCAACAGCAATAATCAGCTGTTCAAAGTGTTCACTACACAGATTCACTTACAAAGTCGAATATGCTCCCAACAGTTCTTTGCTCACACTGAACACAGGCTTAAGATGGCTGCTGTCATCCAGTTGACCAATTAGGAGGCAACAATCAGCTGGGCAGGACCAATCCAGTGTGCCCACCTGTTCTCCATTACCTGAATACACTCACACTCTAAGGGAGGAGGGGGAGATAAACAAATAACAGTCCAGCGAATAATAATAAAAGCGAGTTCCCATCTCCCACACAAAACTCTGCTCCTGACCTGCCTGAAAACAGCTGGATTGTAGTCCGGCCTTTACTTCCGTAACCTATCACGCGTCATGATGCTCGCCTAGCGGCTAGTGTGACGCGCCCTCAAACCAAGCTAGTTAAATATGAAGTTAAAATACCGTTAGAGACCCTGCAGGTAGTAAGTCGACATCAAACTGTTACTGTGATGTAGAGACAGTCCGCAGTTAAAAAGCCATTTATGAAAGATACATTTGTTACAGATTAATAACTCGCTTCTCTGAAAGGTTCAACTCCAGGTTGAGAAGCTGGTTCAGGTGGTTCAGCTATTCTGGTACAAGCCCTGAATAAAATTTAGTACTGGTTATACAGTACTGGAGCGCAAGTAGATGCATGGGTAATGAGTGTCAAACACACTTGACTGTTTTAGGGAAAGTGTCTTCATTAGTGTTTAAACAAGTTGTGTTAGTCATTAGTCAAACTGATTCCCTTCTTAATAACTGATGCTTTATGTCAGTCAGCTGGAAAAATACCAAACACTTGTCATGATTTGCTTTCCTTTCATTATACAATGATTACCTTTCAATGTGGTCTCTGAGATGTTTCATTGCCTTGTCATTTATAAACTGAATGATTCATCAGTTAATGGATATTATCAGTATGTTATTTAGCTACAGTACCTTCTCAGTTTGCACCAAAGAACATCAGAAGCCTTTCTTCTTTCCTTCTCTGCTGCCCCTCCTTCCTCTTCTTTATTCCAGCAGGTGGTGATTAGTGGTTAGGCCTAATTACGGCGCTCCAGCCTGATAACACGCATTTCTTTTCAATTTCTAAATAAAGAAAAGTGTGTGTGTGGATGGGCTACAGCGGGGAGAGGAAATGTTTTTTATGATATTGTGAGGACCCAACACCTGGTTGGACTATGACATTGGGATTAGAGAGAGGGGAAAGATTCTAAATATACCTGAATCAGGCACATGCTAATAACTAATTATCAATCAAACTGCAAACATAAAGCTAGCTGAACCGGCTTGTGTGATTAGTAGGGACCGAAATGTCTGGAATTCAATAATTTGTCCTGGATAATTAAAAAATTCCTACATGTCCATGTAGGATTATTACTTAGCAACAGAATTTCAAAGGGGTCGGTAGATAAACTCTGACCTTTCAATTCAGATCCAACCAAAAAAACTAATTTCCCAAGTCAGCTATTCTTGGTATGAGGAATCTGATTGCACTGCATCGGGTAAAATTTAACTCAAAAAATGTAGTTTTTGTTATAGTTCAAGACTGAACAACTCAGAACTCAGAAATGGATCATTTGACCGTTAATCGATTCCCTGACGTGGTTTAAATGAACAGCTATTTCAAACATACGGGTAACAGCCTTGCTATTCAAACGGAGTCAAGATGGATGGATTGAGAAGTTTCAGGTCAGCTGTAGTATTTTACTAGTTACCAGCTAATGAACCATGTGGCGTGCTCGGTGTTAACCGGCTGGTTGTCAGGAGAACCAGCTCCCAGAAACCTACAACGTGCCATCTTTTCCAGCACTGCAGCTACAGCACACTCAGGAGAGCGTTAAAATGGGCTAATCACGTGAGAGTCATTACCGAGTCACAAATAGTTTTCTGATCCCACATTTTAAGCATGCTTTCTTACAGTCCCATTGTATTTATTTAATGATCCCGACATAGACGCTGTTCCTAACAAAACAAGCTCTGTATCTTATGCAGTCATGACGAAACACAAGAAATAATGGTACATGATTTCTCTGACGATGCACAGACGACAAAGTCTGCAACAAGAGTTTATTGCACATATTATTATACTTACAGGTTGGTAAATCTGATCTGAAAACCTAATTCATGGTAGTGAAATCACTGAATGCTACATTTGAACAGCAGCCGTCAGTATC